TGGGGCAGAAGGCCAGGGAGGCCGCTCACCGGGACGCCCCCAGCTCTGCCCCCCAAGGCCTGGGGTCTCGGGCTCTCACCAGCAGCCCGCGCACCTCCTCCTCTAAGTGAAGACAGGAAAGAGGGCTGCGTTTGAAGCCTGCGTCAGTGTCACAAAGTGCTGTGTTCAAGGAAAATTGCAGGCCCGGGTTCCGGGGAGGGCAGAGGGCACTTCCGGGGCGCGTGGTGTGGGCCCCACAGGCAGCACAGGGGGTGCAGGAGGCAAGATCACAGCAGGCAGGGCTGGGGACTCACTCAGGGTCCTGGGTGCGGGGTCAGGGAGGGTAGTGGGAAAGAGGGGGAGCCCCAGCCAGTGGAAACAGGACTGCAGGGCTTTCCCTGAGGGGGTCACAGGTCTGGGCCTGCTCCTGCCCTATGGCCCCCCCCCCGGGGGGGTGACTTACTTATTCCACAGGAAAGGGAAAGGGGAACCCACCGAGACAGACCTGGCCCTAATGCTTAGAGCCCCCACTATGTGCCACGCATGGGGATAGGCTGTCCCTGATCTTGGCAGGCTCCCGGCAGGGTAGGGTGGGGCAGGGGGCTCCATGAGGAGACCAGGGTGAGGACAGTGAAGCCCGAGCACTTGGACACACAGAGCTGCTCTGATTCTGCCTGGGATGCCAGGGAGAGGCTGCCGGAGAAGGCAGCCTACACAGAGACACGAAGACAGGGTGCCCCCACCCCAACACCCACACAATGCCCCAGCCCCAGCCAGCACAGCCGTGCCTGGGCATCACCTGCTCCCCAACCTCCCCCCACCAGCTCCCTCATCCTTGCCCACCAGAGGCCACAGCATGTGGCTCTGTGGCCTTAGCCCCTGATGGGCACGGTGCCCTTCCCTCAGCCTTGAGGCCCTGCAGCCCACCCCTCCCTCCTTCCAGTTTCTGCTTCTTGTCTGTGATGTGGGGACCCCTCCCCGGGAAGACTGAGGCCACAGAAGTCACCAGCAGGACTCCGGGTCAGACCCTTCGGGGAAGTCCGGGAGGGCAGGCATGCTGGGGAGCTCGCCCAGGGGGCACTGTGTGTGGCCCAGGAGGCATTTAATAATGCCTGCTCGTAGGGACCAGGGCTCAGGAAACAGCAGCCACTGGCCAGGGACAGCTCTCACTGCCCCCACTGGCTCTTTCCCCATCCTCCCCTTCCGGTCCCTGTCCCCACCACTGCACCTCACACCCACCCGACACCCCTGCCCCTGTTCAGATCCTGCCCCCTGTACCCATACTTTCTCCTGCCCCCCCCCGCACCCCGTCCTCCCTCCCACCTCACTGTTCCCTCCTCCCACCCACACCCCTCGCTCTCCCCACATCCCCTCTTCCACCCTTACACGCTGGGTCCAGGCCCAGGCAGTCACCCTGCCAGGGGGTTCCAGCCACACCAGGTCTGGGGGTGTTGCAGCCCTGCGGCTCTTCAGGAAGTGCCATCCTCCCCACATCCCTTCCTCCTCCAAGACTTCATGAGTGGCCAGGGCTTCTCCCAGCCTCAGGAACAAGAGTGCGACTTTGTATGTCTGTGTTTGAGGGTATAGGACGGCAGGCAGTGAGTCAGACATCCCGTGTGGGTGTGGGATTCTGTGCATGTTTGCACGCGCCGTCTGGGATGTGTGGAGAGCAGCCCGTGGTGTGGAGAGCACAGTGTGACCCGTGCTGATGTCACCCAGGTGCGGGCTGAGTCCTGGACACACAGTGTCCTGAGCAGTCTGGGCACCGGGAGCCTGACAGGTGTCTGCACCAGGATTTCCTCCCAGCCTCTGTCTGCATACAAGGTCACTGCAGCTGCAGAAAGGACCTCAGCCCAAGGCCACTAGCCAGGTGGCTCTGGTGGAAACAGGTCTCTTGGGGTCCGGCTGGCTTTCCCAAGTGGTGAAGAACTGTCGGGTCCTCTGGGGCCACCTTGGTTTCACAGCCCATGCAGACCGGTCCACAGCTCTGCAGGATGCTCACTCTTTCCCTGCCTGCTCCAGCTCTGTCCACGCATAGAGAAAGGTCCTGCCTGGAACCCACCTGTCATCTGCCGCCTCCAGGGAGCTGTGCGCCTGCTGAGTGGGTGCTAGGAGAGGTCGTCCATCTCATCCAGGTCGTGGCCAGGTGGACACTGTCCTCCAGCCTCCACTGGGACATCCCAGAGGTCAGCCCTCGGGAGCTCTCTTCCCTCCCCTGCCCTACCTTCCAAACCACGTCGAAGCTGTCCTCTGCTTCTGGAGAATCGCACTAACAGCAAACCAGGAAGGAAGCTGCTTTTCCCTCCTTTGCCCCTCCGGGCCCAGGCCAAGGCCTCCCCTTAGCGGATGCCAGCTGCAGGGGCTGCTGGGATGCATCTCAGTGGAGCCCAGGCCTGCAGGGCAGTGCAGGGCAGAGGAGGAAATGGGAGTGTGGCAGGCATGACACCTGGGTACCCTAGGGCCCAGCTCGTGCTAAGCCTGTACTCCGCCACTGTGCTGCTTCCCCAGCCCGAGTGAGATATTCCCAATGCAGAATGGTGCAGGATTCTTCTACTGAAGTCCGGGCCCATGGGTGGAAATGCTAGGAGAGACCAGACAGAAGCTGTGCCCCACAGGCCATGTGGCCCCTGGGATGGAGCGGCAGGGCCTGGCATCATCACCATTAAAGAGATGGAAGGCACAGGGACGGCCACTCTGTCATACTCCATTTCATAGTCCTGTTTGCTTGGTGCTAAAACCGGCCTCAGAAAATACAGATTGTCACAAGCTGAATCAGAAAGGGACGCCAGGACCAGCTGCAGCGGTAGACGCAACATCATTCCGAAGCATATAAACACGGCCTTCAGAATCCGACAGAAAGCTGCTGACCCCCTCAACCCTCCAAAGGTGTCCTCCTCTGGGTCACTTGTCTGGGCACCGGCAAAACTGAACAGAAGAGAACTCAGGGAAAGAACGGGCCACTGGGCTGTGGAGCCATCGGACCAGGCAGGCCAGTGATACCCGGGGGGGGGGGGGTCCACCAAAGACCAAAGCCCAGGAAGGAGGTCACAGCTGGGGAGGCCACGCTGTCTCTGCAGACGTCACTTCTCCATTTGGACAGCAGCTCTGGGTCATGATAGAGATTGAACACCTGAGCGACTGCCACCTAGACTGCTGGAGCCACGAGAATTGCCTGTTATCCGAGCCACTAAATCGACAGCATCCCGAGAAAACCGGACTTGATGTACAGTTGCGCCCTGCATGATGGCATTGAAGTCGACCAAGGACCGCCGTGGCCCCTAAAGATGACATCTCCGTCAGCGAAGACCCAGCAATGCCAAGCATGGCTGGGACCTGTGGCCAATGTGGTCAGATGGTGCCTGTAATCCCAGGACTCCAGGAGGCTGGGACAAGAGGGCCACGAGTTCGAGTCCAGCCTGGGCAACTGAGTGAGTCAGTGAGACCCTGTCTCACATAAAAAATAAAAAGGGGCGAGGCTATGGCTCCGTGTGAAGACCCTAGTTTCAATCCCCAATACACACACACACACACACACACACACACACACACACACGCATGTGCAAAGCACGTGGGATAGGCAGAAGAGGGAAGCTGTGATCCACCTAACCCTGTGACCAGCTACCAAGCAGGACTGGCATAGCTGTGTTCTGTGTTACCCTGTCCCTTGTTTTTTCTCCCAGTCCCTTAGACAAACACCTGTGTAAGGACTGAAGCTCGAGTTCCGGGTGGAACTGACCCCACCCTTCCAGGGTACGGAGCTCTGCAGACTTTGTGGCCCTAATGCGGAGGGCCTGGATTTGGACAGGACAAAGATGGAGGCTGGTGGCCAGAGCGTGCTGGATGTTTTTGGTTTTCCTTCCTTCCACACCCACTCTGCGCTCTGCCTGCCCTGTACCCCATCTCCTGTGGGGACTCCGCTTGCTGTAGGGAGAACCGTCCGTGACCCCTGGCTGAGACCCGGGTTTGTCAAGGGCGCCGTTTAGCCTTCCAAGGAAGGAGACCACTGGCGTCTCCAGTCAGGATGGGACGGGAGCGGGGTACACCCACCTTTCCCCACATTCCCGCCTCTTTGCTTCCACTGTCTGCTGTTCACTCCCAGCCCTAGAAAACCAGAAGTTTAGCCAGGCAAGGTGCCCCACGCCTGTCATCCCAGCACTCAGGAGGCTGAGGCAGGAGGATCGTTGCAAGTTCAAGACCATCCTGGGCTACAAAGTGAGCTCAAGGCCAGCCTGAACCACATATTGAGACCCTGTTTCAGAAAGACAAAAAACACAAAAGAAAAGAAAAAAGAAAGAACGAGCAGCTTAGCAAATGGGAGCTGGTGACTTCAGTCATGCTGTACCCACAAGTGGCTCACCACTCTTGGCTCATTTCCCTGCCAAGCTGGACATTCTCAGGTCATTTTTTGGGCTGCTGGCTCCTTCTCAGGGTAGAAGCAGGTGTTCCTTTTATGTCTTTCTGGGAAATTCACCCAACACTTCCACTTCCAGCTTCCTACTGGGCTTGGCCGATGGAAGCCAGTGTAGGAGGCTGAAAGGCGGGAGGAGCACGGGTTCGGGGTGTGTGTTCCTGATGGGGTTCTCAGCTCACCCCTGGAAGAGTCCATCCTGTCTGAGGCTCTCTTGGTCTCTCTTTGCTTTCCCCTCTGTGCAGGGGCTTGAACCGGGCCTGCCAGGCAAGCGCTCTGCCACTGAGCTGCACTTCCAGCCCCTGATGGTAACAGCCCTGCCTCCTGCCTGCCCCAAGGTGCCCCAAGCCCACTTCATACTCAGAAACCCCCTTCATCACATTCCCAGCCACCCCATCCCACTTTCCCGTTATAACCGGCCTGGAAATCTCAGGCAGGACACACACTGCCCTGGTGACACTGCCGCACAGCATTTGAAAAGCATCACAGATGCTGTCAGCGCTGCATCTTGGGACCAGTGGGGCCCAGCCTGAGCCTGGCTCCCTCTCAGGTCCCTCCTTTGTATTCTGATTGGTCAGGATGCGTATCAGGTATGCAATGAGCATCTCCCATCCAGGACTAAATCAATCAATCAGTGCTTTACTAAATGAGTAAGACCATCATCCCCGGTCGGGTTTGTCTTAGGGAACTGCCCCTAAGTCTCTTGCACGCTCATCAGTGCCATGTCACCACAGACATGGATGGTAAAGCGCTTTCTTGGTCCATTCAAGATGGGGAGAGAAGATGAAAACCTCTCCCAGCCAGAGACCCGTCAGCCTCTCCAAGGTGTCGGGGAGGATTTCCTCTTGTTGCTGCCTCAGAGCCTGGGTTGGGTAGCTCCTTGCGCTGTCTTACACACTGGAGCGGCACTTCAACTGTTTGTGGTTTTCTACAAGTTTTCTGAGACTTTCCTGAGGCTTTTGCCACCAACTCTTTTCATCCAATATAAAAATGTTGTAAGTCATGTTCGCTGGAGGTTGCCTGGAACAAAACCACCAAAAATCACACTGTGCACTCAGGAGATTTGGAATTCCCGCTGTCTGTGGGGATTTGGGCTGGCATTCCAGGGGTCCAGTCTGCTGCCCACCAGGAAGGCCCATGGTGTACAAAACCCCTCCCGGCTCTGGGCAGCACAGGCCACTGGGAAACCCCCCACTCCCTACGTAGTCATGATGAGCATGGGCTCAACCTGGGATGGAGCTGCCCTCCCACCACTACATCTGCAAGCTCGGGGGCCTGGAGGGAGAATCAGGTTTAGCAGACAAGCCCTGACCTGACCTGTGCAGTGGACAGGGCTCATTTTCAGGAGCTTTTAAACCCTTCATCTCTGACCTCTACCACATTCAAGGCTTCAAGCTGGAGGGGAGGTGATGGTAGCCAGGCTGGCTCTTCCTAGGCCTCTGGCATTTAAGGACAGCCATGCCACTCTTGTAGGAAAGTTTAAATATTGTAGCCTCAGTGTCAATGAAGGGTGGTATTGGGGGACAGACAGTTTGTCACTCATCACACACCTCCACCCCTGTCTCTGGGGACAAGCTGAGTGCCTAATGTGGTGCTGGGCAAACCTCAGGGGCCTAGCCGGGCGTGGTGGTGCATGCCTGCAATTCCAGCACTGGGGAGGCTGAGGCAGGAGGATCATTGGGAGTTCAAGACCAGTCTGGGCTACAAAGTGAGCTCAAGACTAGCTTGAACTGCACAGAGAGACTTTCTCAAAAACAAAACAAAAACCTCGGGGGCCTGTAGGGAGCTACTTTGCATGTGCTTCGCCTTTCCTTTTGGCATCCATGTTCCTCTTTCCCATCTTCCAGCCAGAGGTTCTATTCTCTGCCCTTTCAGTAGCCCTCTGCATGGGGTAGCTTTGGCCTGGAGAGACAGGCACAGGCCATGCTGGGGCACCAAAACCTAGCTGTGCATCAGAATGAGGTGGTGCACACCAGTAATCCCAGCACTCAGGAGGCCAAGGCAGGACAATCACTGCAAGTTCCAGATCAGCCTGGACTACACATGAGTTGAAAGCCAGCCTGAATTGCATAGCGAGGCCTCATCTCATGAAAAGCAGAAAGAGGTAGCGCCTCAAACCTGGTCTCCCTGGGCCCTGTGTCCCCTTGGGGAGTACTGGGCATAGGGACCCCTGCCTTCCTCCAGGGGCCTGTCAGAAGTCATAGGGGTGGCACCAGTTCAAACACCAGGAGTTCTTAGAAGGGACTCACGGTGGCTGCCTCCTCCTCATGGACGAAGTCAGCACGAACACCAGCAGCGCCATGAGCCCGAAGATTGCAGCCAGGATGCCGGCCACGATGATGATGTTCCTCTGCAGGAAGTGCAGGAGCTGCCCACACGGCAGGTCTGGGGGGAAGACACAGGTGGAGGGGACAGGGAGAGGTGAGATTGCACTGGCAGTCCTGGGTTCCAGCCCCAGCACAGGTGAAAAAAATAGCAAACGTTCAGCTGGAAGCATCACATGATGTCAGAAATGGTGCTGAGCCCCGAGAGCCCTCTAAGGGGTGCACCGGAAAATCAGGGTGGTTCTAGGGGCCACGGACATGGGCTTAGGCATAGAGGCGGCCCTAGCTAGGTCTCAGGGGAGGAGCTCCCAGTGGGCATCCGGACCCCTGGGGCTCCTGAAAGTCCACTTGTAATTCAGTGAAAAAGATAGGACTTGGGAAAGGGGGGTGGGGCACAACATCGAGTGCGAGGTGGGTTACGGGAAGAGATGCCATGCAGAGCTGCGGTGCAGGAGGACAGTGCTTACGGGGGCCTTCCTGGGCCATGGGAGAAACTGAATGTCCCCAAATCTTCAGCTCTGGGACGTGCAGAGGCAGCAGAGAGGCGGCTCGGGGAGCTCTGTGTCAGGCGATGCAAAGGGGCACATTTCTGGCAGAGAGTGGCTATGCGGAGGGGCTGCACTGGGCATGGTGCCCAGCAGACCTCAGCTCAGGTAATCGAACAAGGAAGATGCCAGGCGCATCAGGGGCCAATTGGTAATTGATTCCAGTCCCTTACTGCCTGCCAGAAAGCTTCTATATGTGGCAGTGACAGGCCTCAGAAGGTGAGGCCCACGCTTTTTGCTTGTTTGTTTTGGATTTTGGGCGGGGAGGGGTTGTTTTGCGACAAGGTGTCACTGTATAGTTCAGGCTGGCCTTAAACTCACTCTGTAGCTCAGGCTGGCCTCATGTGATCCTCCTGCCCCAGCCTCCCCAGTGCTAGGATCATAGGTGTGTGCCCCCGAGCCCAGCAATGCTTATGTGCTGAATGACCCTGGCCATGTAGAAACAACAGGACAGTAGCACCTCTGTGGGGGTCGTATGCCTGGAGTTTGAACTGCAGCCCACACACCCTTGCAGCTGAATTAAAAGTGTGTTGATGTCCATTCAAAGTAGCATGAAAGGCCAAGGGCACACTCAAGCCCCCTGCACCTGAGTACCCTTCTTCCCTCGTGCCATCTGGGTGATTACCTGCACTGGCAGTTTGTCGAAATGTCCCTGCAGATATATTCTTTTTGATTAGGGAAGATTTTCTATGCCTCTTCTCCTTTAAAATGTGGCCTACAAAAAAGACAAACGATGACACAGTGTTAGATGTGGAACGGGCTGTTCCCCAAAGGCTAGTTGGTAAAGTCATGGTCTCCAGGGTGGTGCTGTTGGGAGGATCTGGGACCTTTAAGGGGCGGGGCCTGGTGGGAGAGCTTTGGGTCATTGGGGGTGTGGCTCAAAGAGGATCATGGGACCCCAGCCTCTCCCTCTGCTGCCCAGCTGTGGGGCACTGTTTTGCACACTACTGATAGAGTTTGGCCCTAGAGTAAATTACTGTACCGTTATGGCGGTGATCTAACATGGCAGAAGGCCACAGCAGGAACACTTACCACTTTCTGCTTCTTCCTTAGCCTTAATTGCAATTTGACTTCCTGTTTGTGCACAAAAAAATCCCAGTCAGCTCCTAGTGCGCCATCAATGCCTGCCCTAAGCACCACCCCCACTCGAAGGTTACTTATGTCCCGCACCCCATATTCCAGTTGAAGGAGACAGCACAGCCGCCATGGGCTTTGTGCTCCTTCCCAAGTCCTAACCTCAATGAACCTGTTCTTTTTGTACTTTTGCTGCTCTATTGTGCCAGAAAACTCTTTCATAATGGTGCCTTAAGACTCAGATGGCAGAGTGCATTAGCTCCTAAAACTCCCGCCCAGTTGGAGCGCCCCTGCCTATGAACCACTTTTTATTCCTCCGGGACTGTCTACTTGCTGCCACTAATCCGCATGCATCAGCAACCTTCCTCACTCATCATAGGTGGGCTGCCACTCAGGGTTTCTGTTTCTGTTCCTAAAATTTGCAAGCTTGCTGCAGAAAATCCATTCTGCCTTCCGGAACAGGGTTACCAGTTTTAACGCTCCTTAGGCTGCACAGCCTGAGGCAAGACTCTTATTTTTGTTCCCTGGGACCCGCCCCATACTCTTCGGGTGTTGGGACTTTCCATGTCACACTTTCAAAACTAGTGACGACCTCTTGTGATAGGTGTGACCCAGGACAGCTTCCACGTTCCTTGGAGGGAGCTACAGCTCTTAAGCCCCGAGGCGAAGTTGTTCTCTCGGCTCACTTATAATTCAGTCATGGGGACCACTTTCTGTCCCCGGAAAAGCACACCTCTGGGGTGCCTGGCTCATAACCTTGGTGCTCTTGGCCTTTAGAAGGCCATGAAAACCGAAAAGCTGATCTTTCCTTTATGCTTTTGTCACAATGGCGGCAAGCTGGCAGAAACCCTTCATCCTTAGGCCTTTTTCACTTTGAGGCCGTGTCCTTCTCTCTCTGTCATCTGTGATGGCCCAAATACTCCTGGCTCGCTCTGCTCCCCCAGGATCTCTCCCCATCCCCTCCCCTTAGATGATGCGGCTCCTGTCTTTACGGCTCTTCCCCTGTATCTCCAAGACCAAACCCCGCAGCCATCTCAGCCAGAGGTTTCTGTGCCCCCTGAACCGTCTTCCCCGCCTTCCTCACCCACAGCAGCCTCTAGTCCTTCCCTTAGTTTCTCTTCCAGTTTTCAATTTCTTAGTCCCCTCCACCTGAGCCGTCTATTCCATCAAATGGTTCTTTGCGCCCTACCCTGCCGTGCCATTTTCCTCACCAGCCCACCATACTCGGTCTCACATGTTCCAGCATTCCAACAAACCACATGATTCTCAGCAGCCATCTTGCTGCAGCTCAAGTGGAGGAGGGCCATGCGACAGTGTGCCACCATCTTGGATGGGTGGCAGGGTCAATGGTCGCCCTCTTGTGGTCCCTCATCATAGGACCAGCAGCAGCCATCTACAGGCTGGTTCCAAGAGATTAGTTCATATTTATGTTCCTTTTTCTCTCTCTGACCTAGCTCAGATTAGCCATAAACAAAATCCCTTGGGGAGAGGAGACATTGGACAGGACTTCAATTAATAAATAAGAAAGTGGCCACCTGGCAACTTTAATCAGCTCTCATTCATTAATCAGAGGCCCCAATAATCATAGCCTTATGGGAGACACCTCAACTAAAGTTCATATGACTAAGACAATTCATTGTTGCTGATCTGACGGTATATTCATGCTTTCAAATATATAATTGGGATTGTTTATGATGACAAATGTTTTGTTCAGATCCAGACATCTGCCTTTTTCTTGTGCTCCACCCAAGAGATTCAAATCAAATCAACATGAGGTCATCAGTCAAATAATTTTTAAACAAAAATTTATATAATATATATGTTATACTTAGAGATGCTTAAATAGTAAGCAACCCAATGTCACAAATTGCTTCAGTGTTCAAATGTTAAAACACCCACGGTTAATAGAAAATAATAGTTCCATTTAATGTTCTATGTTAAGCTTACTGCCTCGACTACACTGTACTGTTATCAATCTTTGGGATGTTCAACAACTAAAATTAAGAGATAATTATAAATTCCTTTTGGATTCCTTTTGCTAGGATCCACCAGATCTTTTGCAGAAAAAGGTTATATGATGCATATTGGGGCCATAATTAACTATACTCAACTGGCATTAAATGATACCACAGCTTTTCTCTCTCCTAAATAAAAAGATAAAATTAATAAATCAGGCCATCCTCTAAAAATCAGATGGCATTAGACATCCTAACAGCACAGGAGGTACTTATACAATTGTAAAACCTAAATGTGTGTATGACAAATGAATGACATGTCACTTTCTAAAATTTCCTGGACCTTATCCTTATCCTCCTTATGGGAAGCCATTACTACACTTATATCCATAAATACCCTATTGATTCTATTATTTGACTCCTGCATACTTAATTGATTCTTTGCCTTTGTCTCCTTTTAGCCTTAAAGCTGTACACCTACCCAAGGTAAAAATGCCTGGTATCTATTGAGAGCCATTACTTAAAAGCTCTGCCCAGGATCCCTGACTGCCACTGGACAACTTCAACCCCCTTCAGCCTAAAAAAGCCAGATCAGTCTCTGCCCATTATCTTTCATGGCAGTTTGGGTTACTTCTTCAGAGAAAAAATGGTATAGGCAGCCAAGTCAAATAAAATATTATAGGCAGTCAGATAGGGCTAGGGCTCAAAGTAGCCAGCACAGAGGATCAGATGCCTTGTGACTATGGAGGAGACAGATACCTCCCACTGTGAGCCAGATCCCAAGACAAAAGGCTAAACTTGATTCTCAAACCCCACTGGGAGGCCTTCTTAATATGGCTTTTTGTGTTTTAAAATTAAAAGGAAAATAATCTGATCTCTTAGCAGTGGCACTTGGGGTTCCCAAGACAGGAAAGTGGAAAACAAGGCAGAGCTGCCTGAGCCCCTCCTGGACCATGCTTCAAGTGCAACAAAGAAGGACATTGGGCAAGAGAGTGCCCCAACCCTGGCGTTCCTCTGGGGCCTTGCCCCTACTGCAATCTCAAAAGCCATTAAAAGAGTGACTGTTCTAGCAGCCAGGGAGCAGGTAAGCTATTCTTTAACTCCTTGCCCTCATAGGAGATCTCATCACCACCAGATTCATCGCTGACAGATCTGCTTGGACTTGCTGCTGAAGATTGATGGGGCTCAGGGCCCACAGCCCCCCATGAAAGTGTCCTCAGAGCCCCAAGTTCCACTGGAGGTCTCAAGTAAGACATTCTCTGTGCTTGTGGACGTAGAGGCCATGTATAGTGTTCTTCCTGAGTTTTCAGGCCACTATATTAAGTCCTTAGTCTCTATAGTGGGTGGGATGGCCAGCCTATGCAGCCTTTGCAGACAGGGCCTGTTCCGTGCAGGCTCCAGACTCTCTTCATTACCCACAGCTTCCTACAATTTCAACATGCCCCACACCCCTTTTAGGTAGGGATCTTCTTCAAAAGCACAACTCTCCTTCACCTTCTCCCTCCCCATAGCTCTCTGTCCTCCAGACACCCTCACAGTGCACTGCAAAGCCATCCCCTCTCCCCACCCTTTTTCTCTAGTCGATTCCATAGTCTGGGATACTTCCAATCCCACTCGCGCTACCCATGCCATGCCTATTTCAGTTCATCTTAGGGATCCTTCAATTTTTCCTTATAGGGACTTAAACCTATAATTAAGCGCCTTTTAGACAATGGTTTTCGTAAACCTACCCATTCACCCTATAATATTCCCATTCTCCCGGTACTCAAGCCTGATGGGTCTTATCGTCTAGTGCAGGACCACAGGGTAATCAATAGTGCTGTTATCCCATTCCACTCAGTGGTGCCAACCCTTACACCCTGCTTTCTCATATCCCTCCCTCCACCACTCACTTTGCAATCACAGACCTTTAAAATGCCTTTTTTATTCCTTTGTGCTTATGCAGACTGACCCAGAACACTCTGAGGTCTCAACAACTTACACTGTTATCTCCACAGTAGAACCTCTCCTCAGGGACACATAGCAGCAGGAGTTGAGCTGGTCAGGACTGCAGATTTTACACATATGCCCTGCCACAAAACTCTCAAATATGTTCTCACCTTTCTTGTACTTTTCCAGGATGGATAAAAGCCTTTCCCAAGCCAGGAAGACCACTAATATATTAAGGTCCTGTTACAAGAAATCATCCCAAGGTCTACAACTAAAATGGAGTGGCCCCTACCCCGTCTTCCTCAGAACTTCGACAGTGGTCAAGGTCACTGTACTGCCAACCTGGTTCCACGTCACCCCAGCTAAGCCCTGGGTTAGGGTTAGGTGCCCTCCTAACCCTAACTCCCCTGACCCTAAATATCCTGAGAGGTCATCTCATCTCACCAAGGTCCCACAGCCACAATCTTCAGGCTAGGTCATATTTTGTTATCCTGTTTGGTTCCTGATCTCTTACATTCTATTAGTTAAATTTTTTACTATAACCATCTTAGTTCTCTCTGCCCTCAACTGTTTAGTTAAACATGAGATCCCTGTGGGCCTACGCTCTCATCTCCCCTATAGTGACACAGCCACAGCCCTTCCCTCCTACTATATAACTACTCTACTCTGTAACTTCCCAAATATGATTCAATCATCAGGCCTTATATTTCTCATTCCTCTTATTCTTTCCAGCTCAACTCCTGGACCAGAGACAAGCCCTACCTACCTACACTTTTAACTTTTACCCTTTCAGATTAGGGAATAATCACCTCTCATAACTTCATTCCTCTTAACCTCACACTTATTTTTCAGATTCTACCTCACCATGGCCCTGATGGAACAATGTATTTAAATCAGACATCTTTCCTTCTACTTCTCTGACATAGGCCTGCCTCCTCATAGTGTCTTGTCTCTTTCTTTTTCCAGTCTAGGATGTGAGCATTCACCAATGACTAATTCCTTGTCCTCCCTGGAACACTGGTACCAGCTCTGCATCGGCATCAACCATCATCCCATCAACCTTCCTGACCCCAATACAGCACCCCCTTTCAGCAGGAAGTAGTAAGAGAGAGACTTCGCCCTTTTCTAACAATAAAAAGACGAGAATGAAAGAGTTTGGCCCTAGAGTAAATTACTGTATGGTTATGGCGGTGTTCTAACGTGGCAGAAAGCCAAAGCAGGACCACCTACCACTTCCTGCTTCTTCCTCAGCCTTAATTGCAACTCCCCTTCCTGTTGGTGCAGAAAGAAAACCCCAATCAGCTCCTTGTACATCACCAATGCCCACCCTAAGTGCCACCCATGGTCAGAGGTTACATACGTCCCATACCCTCATATTCTGGTCAAAGGAGACAGCCCAGCTGTCATGGGTTGTGTGCTCCATCCCATGTCCTCATCTCAATAAATCTATTCTTTTTGGACTTTCGCTTCTCTATTGCACCAGAAAACTCTTTAACTACCATGCTAATGAACTACTTTGTCATGGAACCAAGACAACAGAGTCAGCTGATCATATGCTGGAACCTCCAAAACTATGAGCCGTAGTACACCTTTCCTTTGGTGAGCTGACTGACTCGGGCCTTTTGTCACCACAAAGGAAAGCTCTCTCAAACCCACATATACACATGCTCATCTACAGCAGACCAACAGCCTGGAGTTCATTCTGTTTTATGTTGAGGGAGCTCTATCTACAGTTGAAATGGAGGATTTTCAAGAAAAGTCTAAACAGACTGCAGATATCAGTGTTTTGGTTTTGGGTTTTGTTTTGTTTTGTTATCCTAATCTAACACCTTCCCGGGGAACTTACCCATGGTTGAGACCACTCTCCCTACAGCATCAGGGGCGTCAAAAGCACGGGAAAGGCTCATCGGAAACACAGTGCTGGGCTCGTCATTGTGTTTCGGACTCTGTAGGTCTGGGGTGGGAAGAACGTGCTTGTCTTACAAACCCTGAGAGACACCACAGCTGCTAGTCCAGAGCCTCACTTACAGGACCCTAGGGAGGACTTCCAGCCAGCCCCAGAGCCTCTCAGATAAACAGAGATAATGAGACCCACCTTACAGATGGCATGATGTTTGTGAAAATGATTTCTAAGCCCCAGTGTATCATCCAAAATGTTTCTCAAGTTGCAAGGACCAAAGAAGGAAATGAACCCCGCTGAATTATTTATCAGTAGAGGAGCTACAGGATGGCTCAGTAAAAAGACCAAACTGAACGCAAGAAACATTCACACCCCGGCTCTGCCCTTGGCCGCATTTGACTCCTCTGCACCTGGGGCCAGCAGAGCCATCCTGGATACAGGAATGGTCCAGAGGAGGGGCTGAGAGCTGTCGTGAGAAATTCCAGGGACCAAACTAGAGCAGTGGGTAGGAACCCAGGGATCTGTTTGGACTATTTTTTATTTTTCTATTTTTTTGTGCCAGGAATTGAACTCATGACTTTATGCTTGTCAGGCAGGTGCTGTGCTGCTGAGCTGTATCCCTGGCACCCTGTTTAGAAGTTGGAAAGTAGAGCTATCAAAAAGAACAAGAACAGGCCGGGTGTGGTGGCCCACACCTGTAATTTCAGCTAGGGAGGCTGAGGCTGAAGAATCGCTGCGGGTTTGAGATCAGCCCAGACTACATAGCAAAACCCTCAAAAATTGGAGGAGGAGCTAGGAGTGATGAGACATTCATGTAGTCTCAGCATTCAGGAGGCTGAGGCAGGAGGATCTGAGGCAGCAGGACCCCCGGAGTTCAAGGCCATCCTGGGCTACACAGTGAATGCAAGTTCAGCCTGCTCTACACAGCAAGATCTTGTCTCAAAAAATACATAGAACCCAAAAAGGATAAAATAGGACAAAGAAAATTTCATGCCCCAGATGGGTTTGAGCCAAGCTAAAGTCTACCAGCTCCCAGAGGGAGAATTCTGTGAATTTGGAGGGGCATTTTGGGGTGGTTTGATGAATTTTCTCTACATAAAAGAAAATCTTGGGCTAAAAGCGTAGCTCAGTGCTACAGTGCTCTCCTAGCCTGTGCAGGTCCCTGGATTCCACCATCAGCACCGCAAAAAGAAAAAAAAAATTGCCCAGTGTTGGGGACCACAAATTGTGCATTGATAGAGCAGGTTCTAGGCTCTTCTAGGCCTGCCCGCCTTGTGGGCAGTTTTGGACTGCAGAAATCACCTTCCTGTCAATCAATGAGATTAGCATCCAGGCGTTCAGATTGCTCTTGGCTTGTTGCTTATATGATGTTAAAGTGACCCAGTCTACCACAGTCTCTGTGCTGTTTCAGGAAAAGCACCTGAATTCACCCTGCACTGGCTAAGAAGATGCTACCTAGCTGGAAATCCGAGGCCTTTTGTTCCCAAAGAGCAATCAGTGGTCCCAGATCCCTGCTATGCACCTGTCTACTTTTTCTCTCACTCTTTCTTTCCTTTCCTGCCATACTCCATAACCCAGGCAGGAGACTGGAACTCGCTTCAGGGTTCCCCAATAACTGGGAAGGGTCGCTAATAACCCGGGAGACCTGTGGCTCACAGCTGGCTCAGTTTGTTTTGGGATCACAACAAAGTGGCACATCGTGGGGGTGGGGCATGAGACAAAGCAGCTCCTGGTCTCACAGCTGGGCAGCAGCAGGAGAGGCTGGAGTCCCATGATCCTCTCTGAGCCACACCCCCAATAACCCAAAGCTCCCCGCCAGGCCCCGCCCCTTTAAAAGTCCCAGATCCTCCCAACAGCACACCCTGGAGACCATGACTTTACCATGCTAGCCTTTGGAGAACAGCCCGTTTCCACATCTAACACTGTGTCATCCTTTGTCTTTTTTGTAGACAGCATTAAAATGGAGGAGAAGAGCGATAGACAATCTTCCCTAATCAGGTCCCGCTCCTTAAGGATTCTAGAATGTAGCCAGGCATGGTGATCCACTCCTATAAACCCAACACTTGGGAGGCAGAGGCAGGAGGATCATCGCAAATTTGAGACTGGCCTGGGCTACAAAGTAAGGTCACAGCCAGCCTGAACTGCATAGCGAGACTGTCTCAAAAAGACAAAAAAAGGTTGTAGACTGTGTCTCCGTTCTCCCAAAGCTCCATGCAGACACAACCTAGCCACTTTCTAAGTGCCTTCCACTGTAGCACATTTCTATCCCTCAGTTCTCAGTTGACTGGACTGACTCTTCTCAGTTGTGAGAAGCAGCTTCGAGAACGCAAGGCCCCATTGCACTCTCCAGCTCCCTAAGCGGGGCCTAAGCTTAGGGGAGATCAGCAGCCAGGGTTCAGGGAAGCTAAGCAGGAAAGGTGTGCAGCGCGGGAAGACAGGCCTGACTCCTTGGGTAGCTGGCTCAAGGCCTCCTGGCCAGCTCAGGTGCCAAGAGACACCCGCTGCCTTTCCCCGCTGACTGGCATGAAATGTACAGGAAACTAATCCGGCATATTAGCAATGAGCCGGAGAATATCCATCGCTGTGACAGTTGACTGATTGTATCAACTTGAGTAAGAGAAGTGTCACTGCACCGGCTCTGCAATTCCTCACCCTGTGGCTGTGGCTGTGGCTTGGATGGTCGGAGGAAAGCAGGAGAGAGGGACCTGCTTCTATTTCTTCGGAGCTCGGCTTCTGGTGTAGATGCCTCAGGGCACTCAGACCCCTCGGCCTCCTGATGTGGACTCCTCGGGACACTGCAGCAAGCTCCAGTCCTTGGGCTCCAACCTTTGGTTTTCGCCGTGCAGACCCTCTGTATCTAACTTTGTGGGCAGCCACTGCGAGCCAGTCTTGTAAATTCTTACACATTTGCACACTTTGTATTATGTTTCTCTAGTAAACACGACTGATACACTCACATCCCTAAAGATCATCTGAGGTGCAGAATGTGTCAAAATATGCAGATTCCTGGCCTTCGCCAGGACTTTTTTTTTTTTGAGACAGGATTTTGCTGTGCAGTTCAGGCTGGACTTGAATTCGTTTTGTAGTCCAAGTTGGTCTCAAACTCATAGTGATCCTCCTGCCTCAGCCTCCTAAGTGCTGGGATTACAGTGTGTGCCACTGTGCTCAGCTTTTTTAGAAACTCTTGATGGGTCCTGGAACAGGAATTTAATCAATCCATTCACACCCTCCAGCCTAGGAAAGACTACACATCTGCCAGCCTGGAAAAGGAAACCCTTGGCCTCTATTTCCCTCCTTTTTTATTTTGCAAAGGAAGAACTGTTTGGTGGAGCTGTAGCCTTCTTTGTTAGTTTGGGTTCGCTCTGTCTGCCGGCTGGGAAGGACATGCAGGGCCTCCTCAGTGCTAGGCAGGCCTCTACCGCCAAACCGCAGGCCCCACCTGTCATCCTGTTTGTGGAGCCAGCCGGCCTCTCCATCTACAGGTCAGCAGGGGGCGCCACTTGTGGAAGGACACTTTTCCTTCGCTTCACCCCACCCCCGGGGGTAGGCGCCCGCTGGTGCCCTGGAAGAGCTGCTGCCAGCTCTCACTGCTCCTTCCTGGCGTCCATCTGCCCGCGGTGGCAGCCTGCCTGGCTGTGCCGAGCTGCGCATCCCCCAGCAGCAGATCCCACTGGGCCCCGGAAGCCCCACCCCGACCTGGGCCAGCCGCGGAGTCTCCTCTACCGTGGAACCTGAGCTCCCTCTGCTGGAGCCTTGGCTCGGCCTCCCATTTCACCGTGAGCTCAGGAGAAAGGACTGACTGTGAGGGACGGTCCCCAGTGTCCACCGTGTCACCTGCATGTACCATCATCCAGGAGTCGGTCCATCCTGTCAAGAAGGTAGTCTGATTCTTCAGAATTCCAGGACACAGTGGTTTCTTAGGTGAAATACATATACAAGAGAGAAAAAAGATTATCTTCGGTGCACACTTGCTCGCATCTTCTTACATTTTTGCTTTCAATGTTTAAATTGAAACACTAATATAATGTGTGTGTGTGTGTGTGTGTGTGTGTGTGTGTGTGTGTGCGCGCGCGCGCGCGCGTGCGCGGTTGGTTCGCTGGTTTTGGTTTTTTGAGGCAGGGTCTCACTATGTAGTCCAAGCCAGCCCTGAGCTCACTGTGGGCCCAGGATGGCCTCAAACTCAATTATCCCACTGCCTCCGCCTCCCGGGTGCTAGGATGACCACGCCCAGCTAAGAACCGTGTGTTTGGAAGGTGAGGTAGAGATGTCACCCGACTGCCTGTTGCGAGAGGCCCAGGCAATGCTTGGAGAAACGACCCTCAGGACCTGGACATCTGCATGCCAAACACCAGCAGGGGGCGCATGTCTCTGCCTCCCAAGGCGTTTTATCTCTGCTGGCAGATTTCTGATACATAATCGCATCCTTATTACCTGTAATCGAAGACCTGTCTTAATTCCCAAAGTGCTACCTTTTTCCAATAAAATGAAGCCACTTTGGGGAAAAGAATGTTCTTCTTTTCTGTCATTGTCCTGCGTGTGCCTAGGACATGTCATTTGGGGTGTTATCTCACCCTCCCTTGACTGGGGTTTTCACTAGCACTTGGGCTCCCTGAAGCCTCCTCATGTACGTGGGAGTCCAAAGTGTGTTGGCTGGAAAGGTCTACGCTTCTCAGGGTTCACATCACAAGGGACAGTGAACCCCATGTGCAAACCAGGTTTCCGCTCTCTGAATGCCACCCAGAGTGCAGAGCCTGCCTGACACTGCACAGTAGCGATCCCCCCAAACACAGGCACATCGTGCTGCAGACCTCGGGTGCTCCACTTAGGGGCAGTCCCCGGACCCGGGCAAACTCGAGCAGCAGGGCAGTGACTACATATACTTGCTTTCATGCAGATCTTCCTTTGTCACTGTCCCCACTGTTGTACTTGCTTTCTCAGAAGCTATGACATCCATCTCTTCAGGGGACATCTGCTGTAGGATGTCATCTGCGGGAGGCAGACAAAGGCGTGTTAACACCACAATGGGACGGAAGCGTCCTGCACCTTGAGTGCCAGACACGGTCTCTGCACACAGTGAGCCATGACAGCACCTCGGGCTCTGGACGCTGTGAACACCTTGGCTTAGGAGGGGCACTACAGTGACCCGAGGTCTGGCTGGATCATTGTGACTACAGTTAATATTGTCCGTGCACATGGCTACAACTGTCCCCAAATGTTATTTTCATGCCATAACCTTCCTTTCCATTCCTGTTGTCATTCTGACCCACATATAAGACTCTCCCCACTATGACCCCCCAAAATGGGGTGAAGGCTGACAGGGTAGAAATAAAGCAAAACATTTTAAAAGGTCACAAAGATCTTTCGTTTTATAATGCTGCTACTGATGGTTCAGGGTTGCAGGTTTTGAGGCGTGTTGAGGTCTCCTCCTGCCCTTTCACAGCTTGCAGGTCTCTTTCACTTCTAAGCTTTGCCTGCTGAGCCTCAGAGCACAGCCACCACACATCCCTCTGCCATGGGCTCCGTGGGAGGCCCTGGCTCAGGGTGTAGGTACGTGGCTGGGGACATTCTTGCCAGGCACCAGGGGGAGCCATGGGGCTCCCAGGGCACAGGACTGGGACCACATGGATGTGCTGACCTAAGGCTCCCTTTTTTCTATTTCTTTCTATGGTTTGCAATTTTGTTTAAGGTGGGGATTCTAAGTATTAAGTATTAAGCTCATGAAATATAATCCTCCCACTGTTTAGGAATTTCTTATTTTTGCTTACTACGGGATAGAACTGCCCATATGTGATTTCTTCAAACTGCTGTCACAAAGCATATATTCCTTACTGTATGTGAGTACTGTTTCTGTTTTGTTATCTTTGAAATCAACCAATAGTCTGATAAAGGTTTTTCTTAAAATCTATTTCCCAAAACATGTGTGGGTGTGTCTCTCATTATAGTTAATCGAAAGCGTCTTCAGTCTACGGTGCTCTAAACAATGGCCAGGTTAAATGCCAACCCCGACACTAGCAAACTTCACCAGGAGTGCAGGCTGCTAGCTGCACAGCGACCTGCCATGGGGCTTGAGGATGGAGCCCAGCAGCCCTGTGTGAAATGCTGGAGTTCGCTAGCTCCTCATCCAGGGCACCCTGGGACTCCAAGACTCCAATGTTTCAAAATAGCTGCTGGCCAGGCGGGTCTAACTAGCTCAACTGCTGTGCTAGTAAAGTGACAGATTTTGGAGCTTCCTACCCTATCTTCCACCTGGACCTTAGATTTTTTTCAAATGGTAAATGAGAATCTTGGGTGGATCAGTGAGGCACAGCTGACAGTCACTAGAAGGCTTTGAAAACTACCAATGCCACAGATAGATGCTGCTGACTGGGAAGGTGTGTCTCTTTCAATGGGAGACTCTCACACTCCTGGGTGGAGACCCTGCAGTCGCCACCTGATTCCCTGTTTGAGAACCAGGGTCCTTTGCAAGTGTCTGTCTTTTATAGTTTGCTTACTTTATCGGGATTCCAACACTGATTCTAGCCACGGGCAACAGGAAGAGGTTACCTGGGAGACAACCCCGGACAAGCTCACGACTCTGTACATCCAGCCTAAAGGTTTCACGCAGAGAGCAATACTTACTCATTATTTTCTTCAACTGTTCATCTTGCTTACTTGAACCTGAAGCAAGTTCAGAATCGCTCAAGCCATTTCGATGGAAATAACCTGTGGGAAAAATAAACCCTCGCTGCGATTAAGTCTTCCACCAACTTTCCATTCCTTCTCTTGAGGTTGCCCCCTGCAGTGAGGTATTTGGAGAGGAGCATGGGGCAGGTGACCTGCCTCCTTGAAGCCTCTGCAGTTATCTGAGGTCCTGGCACAAAACCAGTGACAGAGCTCATTGTCACCTGCTTTCCCGACAGGCAACACAAGTGGCTTTGACTCTACATGAACATCAGTGGAGGGACTGCGTGGTATGTGAGGAATAACATCAAGTGTGAGCATCCAGGTTGACAAACACGTGGTTCTCGCTTAACAAGACATCGGTGAAGCATCAGGGACAGATACACTTTACCCTCCAAGCACTCTGCTAAAAATGTGTCGAGGATATTGTGTTAGCCAAGGGGATACCATGAAACATGGCACAGGACAAGCCATCAAGGTTATGGAGAAAAATACATTTTTTTTTCCTGTACCAGGGATTGAACTCACACCCTTGCACTTACCAAGCAAGCACTTGAACCACTGAGCTAAATCCCCAGCTGAAAAATGCATTTTTGTCTCACCCGAGTGGCCTATGAAATGCATTCTCAGGGTCTATGGTTATAAGATTGCTTTACTGATAACCTTATATAGTCATGTCTTGGGCCACATTCTGCTAATTATCCAGTTTTAGTTTTTTATTTTTATTTATTTATTTTTTGACACAGAGTCTTGCTATGCAGTTCAGGCTATGCTTGAGCTCACTATGTAGTCCAGGCTGGCCTTGAACTTGCAGCAATCCCCTGCCTCAGCCTCCCAAGTGCTGAGATTACCAGCACGTGACACCATGCCCAGCTAATTTTCTTCAGAATGCAAACAGTTTCTCTGTTATTTACACAATTTGGGAATAATGTGCATGGTTTTTGTTTTTTGTGTCTTGTTTTTTGTTTTTCACACTCATGGTCACCTGCTGCTCAGCTGCAGCATCCGAGGTTAGTGCTAACTGAGAAATCAGCTCTGTTGTTGGGGCAGATATTTGACAAAGGCTGAGGCAGGAATGAGGCTGCTGAGGGTGAGGTGGGAGTCTCCGCTCTCCCAGGCCAGTGGCAGGGTCACTCGTGGGCAGCGAATGATAGAGCACCAATGAAAAAATGTGATTACTCATAGCTCCTGTTGCAAGGGACAGTGAACCCCATGTGCAAACCAGGTTCCTGCTGTCTGAGTGCCACCCAGAGTGCAGAACCTGCCTGACATTGCACAGCAGGGATCATCCCCAAATACAGGCACATCCGTGCTGCAGGCCTCAGATGCCCCGGTTAGGGGAGGGTTTCCCACAGTGCTCTCCCAAGCTCACATCTCCGCTCCAGTGGCAGCTGCTTCACAGAATGCTTAACAACAGCCCCCTCCACCTACCACAGTCCTGGGGTCCTGGAAACCCGAGCAGCAGGGCAGTAACCACAAATACTTGCTTTCATCCAGCTCTTCCCTTGACACTGGCCCCACTGCTATATTTTCTTTCTTAAGAGCTGTGGCATTCTTCTCTTCAGGGGACAACTGCTGTAGAATGTTATCTGTGGGAGGCAGACAAAGACGCCTTAACACCGCAATGGGACAGATGAGTCCTGTGCTGGGAGTGCCTGACACGGTCCCTACCAAAGTGAGCCATGACACCACCTTGGCCTAGGGACACTGCTCTGAACACCTTGGCTCAGGAATGGGGACTGCAGCGACCCGAGGCCTGGCTGGATCATCGTGACTGCACCAGATAACCTTGCCCATCAAAGGCAGATGCCCAGAAACATCACTGCTTTCTCTTAGGAGCTTCCTGCCTGCCCTGGAAAGCTTTTCAAAGGAGAGTTATGATTCTGTGGCCAGAAGGCTGCACCCAAATGCTGATTTTGCTGCTTACTGAAGCAGGACTCGGGCAACTCACTTCATCTCCTCCATCTTTGGGGAGGCTGTTCTTTAATAGGGGTTTTGGGGGGAAAATGAATGGAACAGTATCTGAAAGCATCTCTCTTATAAGCCTAAGCCCAGATCAGCTGGAAGCACCGCTGCTTTTCTCAAAAGTTGCAACAGATCAGTGAGTCCCAGGCTGCAGCAGGCCAAAAGGTCTTTTTTTTTTTTTTTTTTAAAGGTGATGCAGCTGAGCACAGTGGCCCACACCAATAATCCCAGCACTGGGGAGGCTGAGGCAGGAAGATCACTACAACTTTGAGGCTACACAGTGAGTTGGAGGCCAGTGGTGGCTCTTTCAAAACCCCTCCAATGAGTTTTGGCTGACAGCCCTTGTGTTAGTCCAAATCAACCCCGGCCTCAGAGGCTCTTGGGGAGAAAAGTATGGAGGGAGATCTGATCTCAGTGAGGTCCCCAGGGGTGGCCAGCTACCTTTTGAGGAACAGGGTTCAAAGCATTTAACTTCCCATTTGGCCTAATTTCTTGGAAACATGAGACTTGGAGGAACTGATCCTAGGCAAAGTGTTCTCTTCAAAGCAGCAGGAACAGGTGTCTGGGAACCACAATGCTATGACTCTTCAGGTACAGCTTAAAGTCAAGATCCCCAACATTTTTGTCACCAGGGACCACTATCCAAGAAGACAGTTTTTCAGTGGACCACGGTGAGGTGGAGAGTATTGGGGTCGACTAGATTCTGATAAGAAATGTGTACCCCCAGGTCCTTGCAATGCAGTTCACAGTAGGATTCACCAGGGTCTGTGACCCCAGGACTGGGGACCCCTGGCCTAACTGTTTCAGAGGAGAAGGTTACTTACCAAATATTTTAGCCACATCTTTTTCCATACTCTTTGAACTTGAGGCAAATGTACGATTTGAACCTGTGGAGAAACAAATGCAGCTAGGACTAAATCTTTCATCACGGGCTTGGGCCAGGGGTGGACGCTGCTCTGCCTGCAGGAGACCCCCGTTTCATCCCCAGCACCAGAAACACAGAGAAGCTTCATCTCCCCACAAATACTCAGCTCATTAAATTAAGGACTTCACCTCTTCTCCTGCAGGAAGGGCTTTACATCCCCTCCCTGGGCATCTGCACCATCACCTTCATCAGTGGCTTGTGCTTTGAGGCCATGGCTTAGAGAAGAAAGGTGACTTACCCATGAGCACCATGACACCATAGCAGGTGACCTGACACCCAAATGACAGACATGAGACTCACAGACGGCTGGTCCATACAGGGTAGACAGGCTGGACAAAGGGTCCCATCCCTCCCGGAGCAGGACATGTACCAGTGCAGTGACCTTGGGGTTCAGCTGCAAGCCAGAACTCTTCAGTGGCAGGTGTCGCCTGGGACTGAGCCTCGAGAAGGAGGCTGTGACTGCCCAGAGCAGACACAGTCGTGCATCGGAGCTGAAGCAGCAGCCCCACATTGTCAGCTCCCACCTCAGCTGTGTTTGCAGATTGCTCTCTGCAGGTCTTGCCCTCTGCTTATCTGAGAGGTGACCTTAGGCCTCCTGCCCAGCCAGCTCAGGGTAGTCCAGGCAGTCACATATTTCCTGCCACTCTCACTGTCTGTCACTCATCCCCGAGCCATGCCCTTCATGGATAACTAATAAAACCCAGGAGGGGCTCTGGGCCGAGGCCTTTGTCCCAGTGAACCACGTCCTAGCTGTGTATGTGTCTGAATGTCTTTGCACTGGAAGTGATAGATTGGAATTAACTCCTTAGAATTCCAATAACTTCCTCTTGAGATTAAAAAATAAACATTCTTGGACCACAAGGAGGACAGGAAAGGTCTCTCTATAAAGTCTGTTGGCTTTTTGTGGGTTTTTGTTTTATTTAGACGCGGGATCGCACTCCACAGTCCAGGCTGGCATGCTACTCTCAAAGACATTTTTTCTTTTTCTGTAGGAGACAATCCAGTGTCTCCCTTTGAATCCAAAACAATTACTGTGACTTTGATTATTTGGAGACTGGTTTCCTTATGCTGATATGTAAAAAGGTGGCAAGGGTATTTCTTTTTCTTCAATTAAACTCTGAGCATGCCAAACAAGGCCAGCCCAGGCGCTAACATGCAGCCATCACAGATGTGAGAGACAACTCTGGTGACTCCCTTTGGATCCAAAACAATTGCTGTGACTTTGATTACTTGGGGACTCATTTCCTTATACTGATATGTGAACGGCTGGCTAGTGTATTTCCTTCTCTCTTCAATTGGCTCTAAGCATTGCAAATAAGGCTAGCCGAGGGGTTAGTGTGCAAAGTCTAGCCATCAGACAGCCCCGTTTCCTCTCCACATTGCAAGATTGAGCTGGCCAAATGCAGAGCATACTCTGGGGATGTCAACTAGAAAGGAGCCTCAAGATACGAGGCTATAACTCCCCAGGTCACAAGAGTTTGCATATCAAAAACCGAAGCAACAGCCTCCAAAACAATTCCCCTGCTACCTTAATCAGGTTGTGTAAATTGATCCTTTTGCATGCCTTTATCTCTGCAAATTACAGAGATGCCTTCCTTGCACCTGGCCAGCCAGCTCAAGTTACTCAGCAATCCCCGACATCCTATCACTCATCCCTGAGCGACCCCTCCCTTTTCTTCACAAGATACTAAATGCTAGGAGAGGACTTAGGATCATGGCCTTTGTCCACATGTCCTCACGGGAAATGGGCTTGGGTCCCCTTAACTTGGAATATGTCTTGGTGTTTTTACTCTCGTGGTGGGTTGCGTTGGTGATGGTTGATTAGAAGTGACCAGCTGGTATTCCAATAACGTCTCAATGGGATTACAAATATAACTTTTTGGATTGAGAGGAAAGCTAAAAAGAGGATTACAATACTTGGATGACTGAACTCGATTTTTGGGTTTACAATATTTTTCTTTTCTTTTTTTTTTTAAGTGCCTGATGTTGAACTTCTGAACACATGCTTCCCAGGCAGGCACTTGTGCTGCTGAGCTATATCACCAGCCCTCAAACACTTTTTATAATAAAAATTGTAATGTACATGTGTACTGTCCTCCCATGAAGCTCTGGATTTTACCAAAGTTTCTGAGCTAGGGAAACTTTTGTGTTACTCTCTTCCACTGAGCACTACCTCCCCAGTGGATGACTCAGGAGGTAGAAGGGAAGCACATGAGGTCACCTGAGTTGGCCACACCAGCTCTGTGGCTGGGGACTCCAGCTGCTGCCTGACCCAGGTCCCCACAGGACCCCGTTCCTCGGGCTGGGCTGAGAATACCTTTGTTTTGGGAGTGAGGATAGTGCTCTGCACTGAGCCAATAGTACTGCAAAAAGACCAAGAGGGTCACAATTTCGCTCATCTTCACCATGGCCTGTGTGCTGGTCAGCGGCAGCCGTGAACCCCAGAAATGTGTGGAACCGTGGTCTGTGAGGTCACACTCAGGAGGTGGGGGAGGGGCACCGTGTCTGTGGACCAGGGCAGAGAGGGACGTTGGTGGCCCTGAAGCTGCCCCTCTACTCGCTCTCCATGGCTCTCTGATGCCCTCCTGCATGACAGCAGGACATTAACAGACTTAAGACTCAGGTGACCAAAACTCAACAAAGCACTGTCAGTGAGATGGAAGTAGCTAGAGTACGCCAGGAAAACCCTAACGTTAATCAAGATATCAAGCTAATAAAATGGCATTTATGTTCCTATAGCTCATATCTGAACTCCAAAGGCCCAAGGGTTGAAGATTTGGTTCCCAGTCTGGGGTGCTATTGGGAGGTGATGGAACCTTTAAGGGGTGGGGCCTCATAAAAGGAAGTGACATCATGGGGGGCGTGACTCAACAGGTTTTTTTTTTTTCTTTTTGAAGCAAGGTCTCACTATGCAGTTCAGGCTGACCTCAAGCACACTTTGTAGCCCAGGCTATTCTCCAACTTACAAGAGCCCGCCTGTCTCTCTGTTTCCCTTCCTGGCCATCATGAGCTGAGCAGCTTCCTCTTCCACATCTTGCCACCATGATAAACTGTGATCATGAATTAAAACCACTGAAACTGTCAGCCAAAATGAACCTTTCCTCTTATTTTTATTTTGTTCCAGCCCTGAATCAAGGCCTTCAGCTTCCTAATGCTGCTGTTTTCAAGCAGGAGCCTAAAGAGATGTCTTTCTATGGTCTGATGGGCATTTCAGAACTTGGGCAGTGAAATGATCAATTCACTATAGAAAGAAACAGCTTGAAGCAATCCCCCCCCCATGAGTGGCTGTGAAGTGTGGCAGGCAGTGGCGCCCAGGACAGGAGCCACCAACAATTACTGGGACCCACACCATGCTGGGACTTGGAGTGCCGGGAAACCAAGCAACCCCTCCCCCATCTGTTTTGTTTTGTTGAACTTCAATATGCATGAAAGTATGCACAGCTATTCTGAGAGAATGACAGACTCTAAGACAGCCATTAGTGACTTCCGTATTGGCTGGTTTTGGAGACCTAAATCGCCTTCCTTATTCTGTTCTGATCTGTTTTATACTATGTTGTTTTGTATGAATTCTCTGTATGTGAAGACATGGACAACTATTTGGAAGAAAACAAGAGACAATATGATAGACAGTAAAGATCTCAGGTTGTCTAGGTTTGAAATTTATATCTCTTACATTGCTTTCTTATATAGTATTTTGTTCGATTATGTTGTATTTAATGTTATCCCCTTTAAAATAAAAATAAAAAAACTAAATTTAAAAAAGTTTTCTTTTCCTTCACTTTTTTTTTGAGACAGGGCATCAATATGAAACCCAGGCAGGCCTGGAACTCACAGCAATCTTTTTGCATCAGTCCCCTGAGTGCTGGGATTCCAGGCATGCACTACTCACTTCCTTTTATTAAACTGGTTGCCTCGGGTTTTTTCTCACAGCAACTGAAAGCTGACTGACACAGTGGTACCACCTATAACACCACACACAGCATAAACACATTGGTAGATTCATGTGACTCATAGAGCACAGTTTCCCCTATTCTATTTCACAAGGATTAAAACATTTTCTGCAGAATTGACAGCCAACAGACTGGCCTGACTGAAGAAAAGACCAACACCCAGAGAAGAGTTTTGATCTGTGAAAGGATTTTGCCCCATTTGGGACACTGTTGCTGGTGAAAAGCCTTGGAGGTGGAACCAGGGGGCTCTATCTTCCCCACCCCTAGGAATTTACCTGTGGCATGAAATGAATACCAATAGGCTACCTGTGCATCACTAATGCCCCTTAGGCACCACCCCAAACCTAAACTACATGTATGCCCCCACTCCAAGTGTCCAACAGAGAAAATACCAGCCCCCGGAGACCCCAGAGGGTCAGGGGCTTTATCCCTGTATTCTTAAAATAAAGGTCATTTATATTTCATACTTCTTATCTTTTCAGCCACGCCAGAATTCTATCATATGGTTCCCTGACCGGGAATCCAATTCTATCAGATGGTGTTGTGACTCGGATCGGCACGTGAGTGACTTCTGGAATCCCCATTCCAAGTCCCCTGCTGATTCACGAACTGGACTGCATCCTGGATTAATTCCTCACTTCTCAACACTCGGGAGCTGCTAACTTATCACTGCTGGTTTGCAAACAACACTGGTCTAATTCATTTACCACAGGTGAGTAACCTCCAGAGATTATTTGGCGCTGGGCCGGGCCCCACGCAGGTTTTCTCCACCTTCCCTGGACTCGGGTGACTCTCTTACATCCTTAGACAGCCCAAGGCAGAGCCTTCTCCATGGGCTGGGTCCCACACTGGAAAGCTCTCACATCCTGTAGAGCTTTTAAGCTCTCACGGGCAGAGTCATTACTGAGATTCATAGGAAATCCACTGGTGTTGTTGGTGACAGCCAATTATCACAAGCTTTGGAACTAAATTACAGATTACCGTTTGTCTATGAGGTAAAGGTGACAATTTAACCTGGTTAGGCACCATGGTCAGTTGCCTCACCTGACTGTGACCCTGTGAGCCAGACCCCACACCAGATTTTATCTTGGGGACCACTTCCTGTTCCCCCAAAAAACCATACCTATTTATAGCTTCTCACATTGATGACAAGTTTACAAAAACTATCTTTAGGCCTTTGTTTTGAGAATGTGTCCTTCTTCCCCTTCTTTCTTCCTTGCTTCCCCTCCCCCTGCCACACACCACATTCCCTGCCAAGATGGGGGAAGTGCATCCAGTGTTGGGAGGTACACATGGGCTGCTCTGGGTTCTCACGCCACAACACAGCTCCGGGTGGGGTCCCGGCTTCACGCGGTGCTTGAAGGTCCTGGCTCCTTGCTGGTCCTGGCTCCCCATCGCACACCCCCCCTCAGCTCTATGCCATGCCCCAATTCCGGGCTCTGCCCCACACGCTGCACCCCGACGCTCGCTCCACCCGTCACTCTTATGTGCCACCCCCACCCTGGGCCCCCGACCTTGCACACTCCGCCCACCCTCCATGTTCCGTCCGGTCCTAGACGCTGTCCCAGCCCTTACCCCCAAGCACAAGCGCTGCTCTCAGCACAAACACAGATGACCAGCAGCTCAGCAGCTCAGAGGTGCTATTTCTTGGTCCACACCAGCCTTTTTTACATTCTCAAACCATTTAATCAAAGTTTATTTGTGTTAAATAAACCAGGATAAAAAAGACAATAGACAAGACTTTGGCTGATAAACGGAGAAGTGGCCACCTGGTAATTTTACCAGCCTGGTTTATCAATTAAAGCCTTCAATAATCTCTGTAGCCTTATATGAGATACCTCAACTAAAGTTCATATGACTAAGACAATTCATTGTTGCTGATTTGATGGTGTATTCATGCTTTCAAATATAAAATTCAAATATAAAATTTTTCTTGTGTTCCAGCCATGACAAATGTTTTCTTTCAGATCCAGATATACACTTAGAAATGTTTCACAAATTTCTTCGGCGTTCAAGTGTTAAAATGCTCATGGTTAATAGCCATTTAATGTTTTATGCTAAGCTTACTGTCTATATTGTACTGTACTGTTATCAATCTCCTAGATGTTTAACAACTAAAATTAAGAGGTAATTATAAATTCCTTTTGCTCTAAACCACTAGATCCTTTCCAGAAAAAATGATGCAAAACAACAAGACCAACACTGCAGCAGAAGCCAGACTTGAGCCTTTCCCAGCCTGTCTGCCTAGCCTGGCTCTGCCCTCCACCGAGCCATAATAACTATATTCAACTGCTAATGTTAAATGACACCGTAGCTGATCTTTCTCCTAAATAGAAAGAAAAAAATTAATAAAACAGGCCATCCTCCAAAAATCAGATGGCATTAGACATTTTAACAACAAAGCCTTTCCCACAACCAGGAAAACTGCTGATATATTTACTAAAGTCCTGTTACAGCAAATCATCACAAGGACTACAACCAAGTTGAAGTGGTCCAAACCTGATCTTCTTGGCAACCTCAACAGCAGTCAAAGTTGCTAAACTGCCATCCTGGTTTCACATCACTCAGGCTAAGTGGTGCCCCTCGAGCCCTAAATCTAACCATCCTTTTGCCTACTCATCTTTACCTCACCAAGGCCTCACAGCCACAACTCTCAGGCTGTCATGTTTTGTTATCCAACTTGGTTCCTAATTTCTTATCCTTTTTACAGCAAGACTCTCAACAGTCTTTCCTAAAGACTCCCACATCATGCATATCAGAGATAAGCCTCACCTACCTACCCTCTTAACTTTTACCCTTTCAGATGGGGGAGTATTCACCTCTCATAACTTCACTCCTCCTAACTCCACACTTATTTTTCAGAATTCTACCTCACTGTGGCAATGATTCTACCTCAACATTCCTGATAAAATGACATATCTAAATCAAAGGCACCTTTCCTTCTACCTCACCTGGGTCCTTAAATATGATAGTGGCCTGCCTCCTCATAACACCTTGTCTTTGTTTTTCCAGTCTAACATACAGGCATTCACCAGTGATAAAGTTGTCCTGGCTAAAACACCTGGCACTAGCTTCTACATGGGCATCAACCTTCATCCCGTGGACTCTCCTAAACCCCAGTACAGCGCCCCCTTCCAGCAGGAAACAGTAAAAGAAAGAAAATCTTTGCCCTTTTTCCTAATAATCAAAAGACGGGACTGAAAGCATTTTGCCACATTTGGGACACTGTAGCTGGTGAAAAGCCTTGGAGGTGGAACCAGGGAGCTCTATCTTCCCTGCCCCTAGGAATTTACCTGTGGCAGAAAATGAATACTAATGGGCTACTGTGCATCACTAATGCCCCTCAGGCACCACCCCAAACCTAAGCTACATGTATGCCCCCACTCCACATGTCCGACAGAGAGAATGCCAGCCCCCAGAGACAATGTCAGACCCCAGAGGGTCAGGGGCTGTCTCCCCACATTCTTAAAATAAAGATCATTTATATTTCATACTTCTTATCTTTTCAGCACGCCAAAATTCTATCATATGGTTCCCTGACCGGGAATCCAATTCTATCAATCTGGGGCTGAAGTCACACACTTCCACAGAGACTGGAAGCCTCAGAGATAACATTTATGAATATTTCTTGGATCATCAATATTTTCTTCTTCTTCTTTTGTATTTTTGGGTCATTTGTTCAAAATTTTATATGGGTCATAGATCTAAAAGCATGCATCCATCCACCTGGGTTGCCAGCTGGTCAAGACAATACTATAGGTGGTTGTGTGAATTTAACATATACTATGATTCCTGTATCATGATTTGAGAGTCTCTTCTCATTCAAAAATACTATGTTAAATGCTGTGACTGGGTTTTCATAAGTCATCAAAAAATTTGTTAAGATAAACAAAAGTCCTTTAGCCTATTGGCCAGGACGCCCTTTTGGTGAATAAAGCAGCAGCTGCCTGGAACAAATCATTGTCCAGTCTTTGCTCATTAATGTGAGTACCCAATAGCCTTATGAGAGCCATCCTAATAAATGTTGTTAAAAAGGTGTGACCAGTCGGTTGTGGTGGCACACACCTGTAATCCCAGCACTCAGGAGGCTGAGGCAGGAGCATCATTGTGAGTTCAAGATCAGCGTGGGCCACAAAGAGCTCCAGGCCAGCCTGAACTTCACAGGGAGATCCTGTTTCTAAAAGACAAAAATAAACAAATAAAAATGTTATAGTGGTATATTAACATTGGTCATCATCCAAAGGTTACATTTTCTAGAAGTAACACAATAAAGTATCTTCATAAAAGATGCTCTTGGTACAAAATCAAA